CGGGGGCGGGGCGGGGGGCCCGGCAAAACCACGTGGGCCCAAATGGAAAGTTACCTGCCCGTCAAGCGAGAGGGCCCGCCCCTTTCGGCTGGAAAGGGGCGTGGCCAGAGGTCCAGCGTGGTGTCCCTTGACAGCTCTTAAAGGAGCCGTGGACTATTTTTTGTTTCGAGAGGGTTACGTCTCGGTGCGGTTAATCGCCATTAATCGCCGGGTTGTTTACTCACCGTTCCACGTGGGCCCAAATGGAAAGTTACCTGCCCGTCAAGCGAGAGGGCCCGCCCCTTTCGGCTGGAAAGGGGCGTGGCCAGAGGTCCAGCGTGGTGTCCCTTGACAGCTCTTAAAGGAGCCGTGGACTATTTTTTGTTTCGAGAGGGTTACGTCTCGGTGCGGTTAATCGCCATTAATCGCCGGGTTGTTTACTCACCGTTCAGGCAGGTGAATGCGCTAGCGGGCGATACCTTGAGAGAGAGAGGAGCCTCTCCAAAAGAAAAACACTAAAGGAAGAGAGCGAGCGAGCGATGCACAAGCGACCTCTTTTTGCAAGAAAGCATCGCCCCCTTGTTTTTGTGGAGGTTATGTGATGGATGATGCCCGGTGTGGTTGCGGGTGCGTGGATGCACACAGGGCGGTTTGCAAAAGGAGCCGAGCGACAAGTGCTAATCCGGACAGGCTCATAACTGTATGTGGAGGCTCTCTTATCTCGCTCTCCGCCTTCCCCTTCTGCACCCTTGAGCAAAATAATTCAGAACACAACAGCCTGTTTATGATTTTCGTCACAGTCTTTCGTACAATCGGCCCAGTTGTTTCAGTGTCATGAATGCCTGCCTGGAATTTCATCCTTTATCATTTTAAACGCCCCCTAAATTAAATCATTTGAAAAACAGCCTTGTTATTGGATGAGAGGGTTGCCTGCCTAGGCCGGGGTTTCCAGACTCCGTCCAGTCTGACCAATGGCATTGGTGGAGAAGGGTCAGCACTCTGCACATGCACAAAGGGCAGCAAGAGAGACGGGACACTGGAATTCTGCGATAAAAGTGAGGGAAAGGCAGCTTCAGTTCGTAGGAAGCCAGCATGAGAACAGCTTGCCTGCCCCTTGCTCTCAAGCAGCCTGTCTTGCAGAAAACCAACAGACTTGCCCAGCTCACTAGAAATAAAGAATTATGGAGGCCCCTTTTATTCAATGACGACACGCCTTTGTGTGATGCACTAGGATGGATGGGATCCCTAGAGCAGGGAGACCAAAGACAAGAGGAGGGGAAACACCTGAGTTTTAGAAAAGCCACCAGGAGCTAGAATGGGTATTATTCTCGTAAAACCAGCAGGTTGAGGGCCAGTGGCTTGGTTCCTTTTGCACAACCCCTTTCACCTTATAAACAGATATATGGAAGACTGTGATCATCGTGTGTGCACTATATACTGTATGCTCTGGCAAAGAAGGAGATGATGGTTAGACTATAAGTTTGGGATATTGGAGACACCAGTATTAGTTCCTGCGGGAATAAGCTTGGTCCTTGTCATCCACTCTAAGCCTGACCTCCTTCACAAGGTGGACGCAAGGAAGAAATGAGGAGACAGGGAGGCACAGGCCCCTCCTTGAGATCGCTGCTGGAAGGGCCAGATAGAAATATATCCGACAGATGAATAGCGACCCGACCCTGCTAATGCCAATTGAGATGGTAGGTACATAGGACTTCAGATTCAAGAAGGCCGAGGATTGCCCACAAGACACACAGCTGTTGGGAGAGAGGCGCTCTTGGTCCGAAGCAAGCTGCGATGCACGATAGCAAACTTCTCCGCATGGCACCTCTTGGCAGCTGAGTGGAAATGCTTTCAGGGAGAAAGTGGGCATTGGGTGTCCTCTCCCCAATCTCTCCGGTGCAAAAGAGTTAACTAGGTGGAGTTTATTCTTTTTACTCCTGGATTGCAGCTTGCTGGCGGTTATTCTCTCAGCTGTGCTATCCCTGGAGCAAAAGTTTATAGCTTGAGTTTGCCGTGTCAGACTTTGAGCAAAGGGAGCCCAGCCATCCCACCTCACCCCCAATCTTATCATCTGCACTTTCTTTTTGAAGGAGGAGGAGAAGAGGGTCACTCTAAGAAACAGCAAAACAACAACAACATGGCAACCCTGTGCTGGGGTTGCCAAGTTGTTTTCTGGCAAGGCTCCTGTGCTTTTTCCAGACATACCTACACTGGTATGAGCATTCTGTGGAGCTCAGAAACTTGGTTTCCAGGTCTTAAAGAAGAGGTACATTGAAATCCTCCATGCTCTGCTTCTCCTTGTATTTAGATGCGATCTGGGACAGTGCTTTATGCCTGAGACTATATGACATTTGGAAATGCACTTAGAAATGGGGGGGGGCTGTAAATTCATACACTTAGCAGGTTTTTCTGGTCCATAGTCTCAGATCAGAGCATCCCTGTGGGGCGGGATGGGCCAAGGTGATCCCAGGCCCACCTATGGTCCCCCGAAAGCTGTGTTTGAGGCCCCTAGATTCCCCCCCCCACACACACACACACCTTTTCCCTGGCAATCAAGAAAGCTGTGTTTGAGGCCCCTAGATTCCCACACACACACACACACCTTTCCCCTGGCAAACACAAAGTGAACGGTCACTCCTGGAAGCCTGTGAAGTGGAGATTGAGTTTTTAAAAATATTGCGGAGGCTTCTCCGCTGCTCACTGGCCGACCAGGTACCCATTTCTCCAAATATAGACATGAGCCTGCAGCCGCTTTGCTTTGGCTTCGTTCCTGTACCTTTTAGCTACATTTGGGGGTTTGGTGCATTCCTGGGAGTTCTGGGGGCAGAACCTCGGCCTCTGAACCTACCCAAGCTGCCTCCCGCTGCTCTGAATCAGAACCTGTTCCTTGTTTTGCTGAAATCTGGAGAGAAGGAACAACGTTTGCCCTTCTGCTGGGCTCCTCTGCCTCCTGCCATCTTGCCCCTCGCGCATTACTTCCAGAAGCTCAGCAACACCTTCTGCCCACCACAGGTGTCCAGGGTGTGTCTCTCGGTCAGTCTCTCCTAAAGACCCACCGATGGCATTGCTCTAACCACCGCTGGGCTCCAGATGTTCTTGTTAGGGGATCGATCCCCTTGGGTCCGACTTACTGGCTTGCCAAGGAGGCAGCAGGCCTGCCGTGTGATTCCGTGGGCAGAAACCAAGGGCCAGGGGAAACCTCTCTGTGCCAGCAGGACCCTCCTTCCTACACTGGCTGGCTCTCCCAGGGCTACTCTGCTTTTGTGTGTGTGTGTGTGTGTGTGTGTGTTTTGCTGGGAGCCATTCTAGCAAATCCACTTTCTGCTGCAGCTTCTTTTCCAAGCCTCCAATCAGGAAGCTCCCCGGTGACATCAGCCTCGTTAAAAAAAAAAAAAGTAACAGGGCTCCATCTCTGAAGGCAGAATGGGCTTCCATAGGCACTGCAGGTGGCCACCCCTGCGCTGCTCATCCTGGCAAAGAGAGGAGAGGCCTCAACACCCAGGGGCTGGGGGAATGGCCACCAGAGGCACCTTTATTCAGAGGGGCCCCCTGCCACGCCAGGGAGACCGTCAAGGAGAGACCAGCTCCCTCCTACCCTTCAGCCGTGAGGCTTGGGGGTCCTCAGCGATGCCGGTCCTTCCTGCTGGCTTCCAGTCTAGCCTTGGTGGCTGCCGTCGTCTTGCGTGGGGCACCATCCTCCTCTGAGCCGCTGGGCACGTTCGGTCCGGCCTTCCCAGAGAGTTTGCCCTGGAACAGAGGGGGCCGGATACCCATCACCGCGGGGAGGGGGGAATGAAGGGTGCAGGGGTGGAAGAGAAGAAAGAGGACAGCACGGGTTGCTAGAGGGCCCATTGCCACATGCCCGTTACCCATAACTAGTTCCTTCAGGGGAGTTGCAGTAGTGGAAGCAAGTTCCACTTCAAGAATAACATAACAAGCATCAGGGAGAGTTGCAGAGTTGATGTGCCAGAGCGGAATTACTTCATGGGCGGAAGGAGTAATGCTTCCTCGTTGCTTTCAAAGTTGCTTTTCAAGAGCATTCCAACACTTTTTTTTTTAAAAAAAAGTCATTTTGACTGGAATTTTTCAACAGTTTATTCCCTTCACTTACCAGTCCTAAGGGTTTTTTTTAAAATGGAAACAGTTACAAGAATGTAACAAAGAACACAACATTTAATGCAACAAATTGCTTCTCGACACTGCAAAAGTAATGGCAACAGGTTACTTGGCAGTGGAGTAACTTCAATATGACACTGTAACTGATAGTAGGAATGAATTGCTTTTATAAAGTAACTTTCCAAGCTCTGCAGAAAACTAACAACCCAGCCCAGTGCTCAACAGGACATTACTTTATAGGCTTTATCACCCCTTTAGCTGCGCTCTTTGGTTGCAGGCTGAGTTTGTTTACCTTCTGCAAAATTGAAAAGCCAAAACAGTGATGGGTTGAAAGATACATTAGGGAAACGTTTGTAAGCAACCGTTCAAAATGCACCCCAGCGTTTTGTGAAACAGGAAAACTGACAGTTTTGTGAAATTGTCCACAGCACAGTGGAACTTTGTGTTCTTGTGCATTTATTGATAATATGCAGTTATGCAGCACAACTAGAGACAACGTATTCATTCTCCAAAGAGGAATTTGGTTCCTGCAGATTCTAGGAAGAGACTGGAATATTTTCCATGGGCAGAATGGCGTTAGCAAAACGCATTCGCAAATTTTAAACTGGGTCTCCTTGAATGTTTGTGCTGGCAACATTGAGCGTCTACAGTGTCCGTCCCTAACCAGAACACTCCAGAAGTATTCTATCTCAGTTCCTGCCACCCCTCGCCCTACTCTGTCATGAGGGCTGGGGTTGATGGGGGTTGTAATCCAGCAACATCTGGAGCTCTAAGGGGAGGTGGGGAGACTGTTCTAGGCCGTCCTGCCAGATCGTATAGCTTGTACTCCGAGCCAAACCGGAAATGTTCAGTGGGGAAGAAGGAGTTCTCCAAAGCTGTTCCCCCCACAGAGCAAGGCAAGGAGACAGATTTTACAAGTCACCAGCAAAAAGAATTTACGGGTTTCTCTTCCCTTTTCAGCAGCTGTAGCTCAAAGTGTCCAACTATCTGGAATTTGGAAATGCCTCTGAGGGAGGAAACTTGTTTGATGAAACACGTCAGGCCCTGAATACAGCCTGGCATCTCTGAGAAGCTTTCCAGCCCTGGTCGTTTGCTGCCTCCAGATCGTTTGCCTTTGGTTTCTCTCCTGCCCTTCCAGGTTTAAAAACAAAACAAAAACCAAAAAACAGAGCAGCTGAAGGAACTGCAAGGGTCTGGCATTGGTCTGCAAGACACAAACAGCTGGGGAGAACACTTCAAACGTTTTCTCTCTTTTAAAGTCATTTGTTCCCGTTGCTCATTAGAACAGTTCAAACACATCTTGTTGCGATTTTTCATTAGGATGCTTCCAAGGCTATCTTCCCATGTTCCTTTTTTTCCTTCTCTTGTTCCTTCTTTGCTGCTCAGAAATGGACTTTTTAGGACTGTGGAAGGAAATGCCTTAACCATTTAAAAAAAATAATAATCTAAAAACACCCTTCAACCACAACTTTGCAAGCAAAGGGGGATTACTTGTTCAACCCCAACCATAATCTTGGTTTTTATATATTTGATTAGTTTTGAAATGCTCCCAAAATTGGAAGCCAGCAAGCGTGCCCTTGGGAGGCCACAAGAGACAGCCTCTCGTGTATGCATCCCTGTGCACATCCCTCTGTGTGTGTGTGTGTATGTGTGTATGTATACAAGAAAGGGAGAAGTAAGGAGGGAGGGAGGGTCAATTTGCTTCACTACCTGATAAACAAGTGGTGTGTACACAACATACATAGCAGACACCTTTGTGTTGAGCCGGAGAGCCCCAGCACCACGTGGGGGGGGTTGGGAGGAGATGGGGCCGAGTCATGAAATCCATGCCACACAAGAAAGCCAAACCATTTCCATCGACTGGCCCTGGCTTCTCCTCAAATTTTCCTCCCCAGGTAGAGATGCAAAGGAGCAGAGCAGTTCCCTGGGTTTTCACTCTTTGGAGACCTGTCATCCCTTCTTAACCAGCTAGCGATGGGATCTGCAACTCACTGACTGAGGTCCAGCAGTAAGCTGTCCTCCTATGTGGGCCGATGAGGTACCCCCCGTCTTGTTCCCCACATTCTTCCCGACCAGCCGGGGGATAGAGGTTTTGCTCAGACCATGCCAGCGGGGAGGCAGGGTGGCACACTCAACAGTCCTTGGCATTGCCTCTGGCCATCTCATCCCCTGCTGGGGGGGGGGTCAGAAGCTCCTAGACCAGAGGGAGTTGGACGGCTCTACTCCGGGGGGGGGAATCCAAACACCTTACCACCACCTGGTTTGCCATCACGGACAGCAGCGACTCCATGGTGGGGGGCTTCTTGCCGTCTTGGCTCTTCAACATCTTGAGGCGGCTTTTCTCCAGAAAGTCACATTGGTTTCGCAGGGACTCTGAAGGGTCGAAGCAGAGACATTCCTAAGTCCTTTCCTATCTCTCTTTTCCCCCCAATAAGAGCCTTTGCTTTCACAACAGCCCTGCAGAGCAGATCCTTCTGACTGCTATCTTTGGAAGTAGGAATCGACGCTGTAAGAGAAGCAATGATGCCGTGACCTCAAAAGGTGCTGCTTCCCCCACAAGGGAGAAAAAACAGCCAAGGAGGGATGCTGGAGGAGCTGAAGATTTTGCAAGCATCATCTGGATTGCCACAACTCTTTAACACCCTCTAGAATGGCGGTATGCCCCCTGCATCCTTGATGCTGTTTATACAACAGGTTTGCCCAGGGACTTCCTGCCTCTAAACTCTGGCACATGCAGGCATTAGAAGCCTTCAAGCCCTGCCCATTCCTGCCCTCTGGAAATCAGTCTGGCCCCCTGGTTTCCACCAGGAACTTTCTATTCTCATGATAATTCTGCTGTTGACTATTGCTGACTGGAACACCGGCTGCTCTTTCTCTAGCCAGGGTGTACGCCATTGTGGGGAAAAAGAGACCCTGGGGTTCCGTTTTGTCTAGAGCTATAAGAGTTTTACCCTTTTATGACTTTAGCTATTTTACAGCTTTAGGTCCTGGAAAGTCCCTCCAGCTCAACCCATTGCTTGGGACCCTAAGCGCCGAAGGCCACTACCTCCAGAGGGCCAAAAAAATATTATTATTATTTTTTTAAAAAAAGGCACCCAGTAATTGCTTTCGGATCAAGGAAGCTCTCCTCTCAGCCCCAAACAACACAGATCATAATGAGTCCAGCAGGAGAAATCGGAAGCTTGGTCAGCCCAAAGGCCTCCCCTGACCAGCGTTTGTTTCCCGCAGGGACTAATCCGTAGGGTGAGCATTCTGTATTCTTAGCAGCTGCTAAGCAGCAGCTTCTTACCCAACAGCTCCATCGGAGGGTGCTTGAAGATGGGGAGGAAGGCTCGGTAACTGTTTTCGTGCTTGGTCCCTGCGGAGAGAGGAGAGACCCAGGTCGAAGGTGGAGGCCAACCTTTCCATGGGGCTGCATTTTCACGATGGGGATCCGTGCTGCTCTGAGAACATGCAACCTGGGGTCAGCTCTGAGGAAAGATCCCAGGGGTGAGATGGAGGATCTCCACCAGGCGGTGCTGGGAAGGGCCCCACATGAAACGGTGACCAGCCCTTGCTTCTGTCCACAGGATGTGATCGCCTGGGAGGACGGAGGACGGTTGGTACTGCTTGTGGAGTGGGCCACTGCCATGTATTTCCCGGCAGCCAGAGGAGGCCCAGGGGCCCTGATCCATGCCCAAGCTGAACCTTTTTGGTCCAGCTATAGGGCTTCTATTCCTTAGGCCTGAAAAGGTCCAGGGCAATTCCCTGACAGACCGAAGGGTTGTTTTAAGGAGATCGCTTCCTCTAAAGTGGCCCTTTCTGGTTTGATCTGGCACATGCCTTTGTAGCTGTCTGATCACACCCAGCGCCTTACATTCCTCTGCAACACTGGCTAAGCTCCTTGGGGAAAGCAGTTAACACTCCAGGCTGATCCTTGCCTTCAACTGTCTTTATGCATTGCTTTTCACCACTCTTGAGAAGGAAACTAGCAGCTTTTAGGCATGTCCGAGAGGCAAATGTCCAGAAATCTCAGTACGCACACACATCAGCTCACTGGCCATTCTGCCTGGGGGATTCTGGGATTTCGAATCCAAAGGTTGAGGCAAGCGATGTGTATTGCCAGGAGCATCAGGGTTTCATTTCCCGGCCTTTCATTTGTGCCTCTCGTTTAAGACACACGTTTGAATTCCCTCCCTCCGCTGTGCAGATCAAGCGGGTCAGCCTTAAAAAAAGTGCAGAGATGAGAAACAGCCTTTGCAGAAATCAGCCAGAACGGCCACTTTGCGCCTGTGTTGTTCTTTGTTTATTCAAACATTCATAATCTACTTTTCCGTCTAACAGCTCTCAGGGCAGCTAAGAGATCAATGTAAGAATAATCCATAAAAACAATTTAAACAATAATAGAACACAGCCCTCAACAGAAGAAAGTGGAACCGCTGGCCAGTCAAAAAGGAGAGAGAATACATGCATGCATCAGAATTTCTTTTTAAAGAGACACGGGCCCAAACCCCATTGCTGGCCTGTGTAAAGGCAATGACATCACTGATGGTTGGGGGAGATTTTCAAGAATCAAAGAATTCCTACAGTTGTCCCGCAACTCGCCGTATACGGTCTCATTCTGTGCAAACCACGGCAGCCTCAGAGATGGCAAGAAGGGCCACGGAATTACTTCCCTTGCTGGTGGTGATGCTATGACTGCGGAGAGGATTTCTATGACATGTCATATTTTTTTTGCAGCAACCTATGATTTAACATGTTTATCAATAATCTGGCGAGAAGGGCCAGATTACTCACAAACATGTTTGAACTCACTTATGGGTTAAAAAAAAAATGTACGAAAAAGTCCAATTCAAGTGTAGGCTACAGAGAAAATGTGAGATGTCACTTCATAGTTTTTGAAGTTTCTAGCCATTATGATTGGGAGGGGAGGGCGGGAGGGGAGGGCACGGGCACAGCCAATCCCTAGAAGGGGCCCCATCCTAGGCTTTCTTAGTGGGGTGGAAGCGGAAATCTGGACAGGGGCAGCTTGTGTGCCGAACACCGCCTGGTGGAAGCTTCCTCTTCGGGGCACCTGCTCAAGCCAAAGCAGCCTGGCCTTTCTGGAAGGGCTTCCACCCACCTGCGGCGCCCCGTTCCACCTTACAGATGTAGTAGGTCCCTCTGGGGGTCAGGAACTTGCTGGCAGGGTCTTCAGGGAACTTGACCAAGAAGAGCAGCTTGAGGGTCCCGTTCTCTTCACACAAATCAATGGGGTCTGAAAAAGGAGCAGAGGGGTGGCGCGGTGGGTGCTCCTTGGGTCACCCCCTCCTCTGGGTACTGCTGCCACCCAAGCCCCACTCACCTGTCCTTTGCAGGCCCACCTTGTCACGCAAGTAATGCATTAGGAGTAAAACCGAGCAGTTGATGTTGGCCAAAAACTGTCGGTTGTCTGCAAAAGAAAGGCGCACGATGGTGGCAGGGAGACCTGGTCCCTGGTCCCCACACGTGGAACGGCTCCTCTGGCGCTCCAGGCCATCCCGCTGAAGGCACAGGATCTCGCCTGACTCTGGAAGCTAAGGTCGGTCCAGCCTGCTTAGTGCTTGGATGGGAGACCACCAGAAAAGGCCAAATATCTCCATGTTTGGGCTAGGGAAGAATCCTGCTTGAAACCTTGGGAAGCCACCCCGCCTGAATTCTGTCCTTTCTGCTCCTGTTTCTGGTCCTTAAGGGTCCTTCCTCCTACAGTTATTAGGAGATGAAGGGGGCATTAACAGATAAGCAGGAGAGAAAGACGTCTGCTGAAACCCAGCCTAAGAATTGAATCTCTGTACAGATTGAGGCGGAAATCAGAAGACCAGGAACCAATAAACAAAGGGTGGACTTTAGAAAAGGAGCCACGTTAACTCAGAGGGGCCTCGCCAGCTTCTCTGATCATCACCTTCATGTGCTACCCACCCATTCACAGGAACCCCAAACTCTGCAATGAACCAGTGGCATAGACGTGCATTTAAAAGTGCAGGCACTCCTCCTGTCAGTCCACGCTGCCATCCTTTCCCACAGGAAGAGCTTTTAAAAATACACACAGCATTCAGTTTAGCCATTTTCAACTGCACTAGGGGAGGGCTTTTGACAAAAACGAAGGGGTCTGAATCCACGGTACCCACTCTGCCCTAAATGCTTTCTTACAAAACTGTAGCTGAGGAAGGCTGATATCTAATAAAACTTGTTCGTCTTTAAGGTGCACGCAGGTTTTCTTTTGCTTCCAGAAGAGCAACTCACATCAGTCACACTTGTTTCTGGGAATATTCCGCCCCCACCCCTGGCAAAAACTACTCCCCTTACCTCCATATTTCACTGTGATAAACATGCCCTGCCTACCTGGCGGAGGGCTACCAAGCTCTCCGCCAGCTGGCCGTCCCCAGAGTCTATTGTGACATCTTCTTAGAACTTCATCATGGAACACTCCACGAGGAAACCTGTGATCCTCAAGTTTTTGCAGACTTTGAACAGAGCCAGGAACAGCCTGAGAGTCAGGTCCCTGAGTTCTTCAAGGCTTCATAATTGAAAAGTCAAACATATCCTTTTTATTTTATATATTTATTTATTTATTGGATTTTTCCTTTTTCAAAAAAATCCTGTCCATCTATTGGCAAGACACTACTCAGGGTAATTTGCAACATAAAAGCACACTGTGATTATCATTATTAAGGCATAATAGGTGTGCCCGTATCATAATTGGAGATCACGCAGATGCGACAAAGCCCAGCCAGAAGGTGGGGGCCCCCTTCTTCAGGTCAGTGGGGGAAATCTTGGGGGCCAAGCCTGGAGGAGAGGGAAGGGCAGGAGGAGAATCCGTGCCAAAGAAGGAGGGTTCTTTGGTCCTTTCTCAAGGGCTGCTGGAGCCGAGGGTCTGGGATGGTATTACAGAGAAGAGGCAGGAAGGACCAAGGAGGTGCGGTCAGGGAAGGGCCTCGGAAGAAAGTTGGCACGAGCATCAGGGAGCCGCTTGTCCCCGAATCTCCCAGATGTGCGAGAAGCGGCGCTGCAGGCAGAGGCAGCCCCTAGACCAGGTTGGCTGTGGGGCTGGGGCTGGGACCGGCGGAGGTGCCCAGCCCCCCGGCAGCCTTGCCCCCGGCATCCAGGCTCAGGGGCAAATAGCCACCCCCAGGGAACAGCTCACTGACACGGCAGATGCTTTCGTGATAGCTGGGCTTGAACATGTCCAGGGCATCCTTCGAGACCCCTGCCCACTCCTGCAGAGAAACCAAAAAGCACAATCTCAATGTCAGAAGGATGCTCTCTCTCTCTCTCTCTCTCTCTCTCTCTCTCTCTCATGGTTTTTACATGGTTATTTGCAAAGCTGCATTATTCTAATATTAAACATTTTTAAATAAAAAAAATGCAAGACTGTGCAAAGAACTTCAGTTCATGAATGGTTTAAAAGTGGAGTCAACAAATAAAATGAGTGAGCTGGCTTTGGCGTCATTCAGCCTGAGAATCAGCTCCGTTTCCTCCGTGCCGGCAGCCCAAGGCCATTTTGCACCCTTCCGGTATGGCCCGAGGGACAGGCCGTGGACAGCCGAGATGGTCCAGAGGCCGAGACACTCACCGAGAAATTCCCATGGTACGCGGTGAAGAGATCTTCAAATTTCTTGCTGGGGTTCGGGATGGCGGGCATCAGGACCAAGCGCACCCTGCCGGGAAGGAAACAAAACCCATCAGCGCTGGCAGTGCTTTGCTGCTTCCACGGTTCTCTTGGCGGGAGTGGGAGTGGGCAGCCGGGCCAAGACCCTAACCCTGCCCACAGAGGCACTGCCTGGATAATCTGTGAACGGCAACATGTCCACGGGAGAGAAAACAAGATGCAGAAGGGACTGGAAGCCAAGACTTACGAGTAAGGAGCAGGGAATGTCAAACCTGGCCCAGAAAAGACTGAGAGGTGATAGAATTAGGAAGCAAAGGGAGAAGGAGCAAAAGTCTCTTCCCCCCCCCATTTCCCGCCCCCCAGGAGGGCAGTGTTGAAACCAAAGGATTAAAATCACAACAGAGGGGATTTCAGCTCAACATTAGGGAGAACCTCCAGATGGCAAGGGCTCTCTGATGGTGGAAAGTGGCGGATCCTCTTCCTGCAGTAGGTTTTTCAACAAGAGAGCCGCCTCTCAGGAATGTTTCAGCTGCCTGCTTTGGCAGGGGGTGGGCTGGATGATCCTTGAGGGTCTCTCAGAACTTTATAGTTCTACAAACTGCAGAACGCAAATCGTACTTCCTAGAACTTCTCAGCCAGCATGCGTGGTAGCTCCCCCCCCCCCCGAAATAACTTTTCCAAGCTCTGCATGGAGGCTTAGGGTGCAATGAGAAGGGGAGACGGGTCACATTTTGGACTGCTTGTGGCAGAGTCCAGGCCCCCCCCCCCCCGAAATAACTTTTCCAAGCTCTGCATAGAGGCTTAGGGTGCAATGAGAAGGGGAGATGGGTCACATTTTGGACCGCTTGTGGCAGAGTCCAGGGTGAGCTATTTCCGGGCAATCCTGCAAGACATGTGAGATTGCAAAGCGGCCCATGCCTTTTTGGTCCAGCAGTACAGCTATTCCCTCTTTTTTCTATTACAGTATTATTATTTTTTAGGACTGGGGTAATTCCTCCACAGATAGAAACACTGCTTTAAGGGAGATCCCTCCCAGGAAAGAACCCTTCTCATCATCTGATCACAGCCCTGGTTTTTAAACAACAACAACAACAATCCTCTGGTGGTCTCAATGAGATCTGGATCCCTACATGTCTGATTCTTCCAGGACATGAGCCTCCTTAAGATTTTCATTCACACAAGCCAGTCCTGGCTGTTCAGCGAAGGGATAAATGAGATTGGTTTTCAGACCGTGATGTGGAAAAAGTGACATCACCATGTGCTGAAAAAAAATCATTCCGGCTGAGCGATGATGATGACGAGGGAACAAGTGGGATTAGCTGCTTTCCTCTGCTGCCAACAGTGACCTTCCCCCTGTGCAGCCACCAGTCTCTCCTCTGAGGTTAGAAGTGAAGCAGAATGAGGCCCGGTGAGTCTTTGGCTGGAAGACCCTACAAGGGACCTCCAGGCAGGGCTGGGAAAGAATCCTGCCTGACCTCTCAGGGAACCGCGGTGGCTGCTGGACAGAGCTGGCTTTATTGGGGTGGGTGGACCCCCCAAGGGTCTGACTCAGGAGACGGCAGCTTCCCAACACTCTCCTGTCTCAGGACACCGTCTGCCACGTGAGCTGTTTCTGTTAAAGGGGCATGAACTGTGCGCGAGAGGGAGAAAGGTGGCCAGCCGTCGGGGTGTGTTGCAAGGGATGGGCCAGGTTTGCCCTGAAGTCCAGCTAAGACCCAAGCTGGCCCTTTCGGCCACAGAGATCCTTCCAAGAGCTGAGTCAGATCCAGCTGTTCTTCAGTCAGGCTTGGGGTGGTGGTGGCTGTCTCAGCCCTTCCCAAGGAAATATGCCTTCAAAAGGAGGGTGTTCTTCTGGCACCTCTTCCAATGGAAGATGGAAACCCCTAAAAAGGACACATGGCTACTGACTCACCCCCCGCCCTCCTCCACAGGTTTTAATCTGCTTACTCACTCACCTCTCCATGCGCAGCAGGATCAAAACAAGAAGAATCAGGAGAAAGAAGGAAGCCAGCAAGAGGCTGATCTGGAGCAAGAACGGCATGGAAGGTGCAGTTTCTGCAATGGGGGAAACCATAGAATAGTGAAGTTGGAAGGGGCTTCTAAGGTCATCCAGTCCAACCCCCCTGCTCAAGGCAGGAATCCAGATCCAAGCAGATTGGACAGACGGTGGTCCAATTTCCTCCTGAATGCCTCCAGTGTTGGAGCACTCACCACCTTTTGGGGTAATTGGTTCCACTGTCATACTACTCTAGCAGCTGGGAAGTTGTTCTTGACATTCAATCAGCCTCCAGTGTTGGAGCACTCACCACCTTTGGGGTAATTGGTTCCACTGTCGTACTACTCTCACAGCTGGGAAGTTGTTCTTGACATTCAATTGGACTCTGGCTTCCTGTACCCTGAGCCTATTGTTGCACGCCCTGCACTCTGGGAAGATCAAGAACAGATCCTGCCCTTCCTCTGTATGACAGCCTGTCAAGTATTTGAAAAGTGTTATCATATCACCCCTCTGTCTTCTTTTCTCAAGGCTAAACATATCAAATTATTTTAGTCTTTCCTCATAAAGCTTTGTTTCCAGCCCCCTGGTCATCCTTGTTGCCCTCCTCTGAACTTGTTCCAATGTGTCAGCATCCTTCTTGAAGTGGGCTGTCCATAGCTGGACCCAGTACTCAAGGAGAGGCCTAACCAATGCTGAATAGAGGGAGACTAGTAACCTTTTGGGATTTGTAGACTATTCTGTTAATGCAGCTTAAAATAGCATTAACCTTTTTTTTGTAGCCACATCACACTGTTGGCTCATATTTAGTTAGCTTGTGATCTATGACAATCCCAAGATCCTTCTTGCTCATAGTTTTACTGAGCCAGGTATCCCCCATCTTGTAATTGTGCAATTGGTTTCTTTTTCCGAGGTGCAGTACTTATCCCTGTTGACTTTCATTCTGTTGCTTTCGGCCCAGGGCGCCATCCTATCAAGGTCATTTTGAATTTTGTTTCTGTCTTCTAGGGTATTAGCTATTCCGCCCAATTTGGTATCATCCACAAATTTGACAAGCATTGGGGAACCCCTCTTCTTATTATATATATATATTTATTTATTTATTTAACTTTTATGCCGCCCACACTACCCAAAGTTCTCTGGACGGCTTACAACACTTGTTACCTCCTCCCAGTTGGAGAAGGAGCCATTAATCAACCCCCACCCCAGCTTGGCTAGTCCGTCCGCACCTGCTTTGCCTTTTACCCATAAATGCTGCCTACGGTACCTACCTTTCCCCCAATATATAGGGCCTCCCGGCTCGCTCCAAAGTTCTGTGAAGGAACACAGGAGTTTCATCTTACTGCGGACATAGAAGGTATAACGCTTCTCAGGATCCACACTGGCTACGTTGAAGTTCATCTCTTCTGTTTTCTGCGTCTGAAAAGACACCAGCAAGAAATGTGTAAGCATGCCATTCTCTAGAGCGGTTGCGCCCAAAATCAAAATAGTAAAGATGATAACCAGGATTCAGCCGCTCAGCAGTTGATTCAGTGGAAGGAGGAGCTGGATTCTGGCCCAGGTGTTTCAGAGGGCACCCCTGGCCTGTTGCAAGGACGGGCACAACGAGGGAAGAGGGAACGGGAAGAGTGAGAGAGAAACCCACCCATCCTCATTTGCCATGAGAGACCCCGCAAGTGGGCCAGACCCGGGGCATGAGGGTAAAGTTTACGTGGCACAAAGAGGTCCCTCTGAGACCGCCGGGAGGAAGGAAACCTCCCCCCTCCCTTTTATCTGAAGCTCAGGCCACCAATGATCACATCCTGCCACGGCGGACAACTGTACCGTGAAGTTCACGTCCTTGTTGCTCCGGTACTCGACGGCGTGTTCCAGGCAGCGGGGGTTCCTGTACGGGGTGTTCCAGCTCAGCCGCAGTTGGTTGTTTTCGAGGGCCTTGACAGAGAGGTTGAAGGGCGCCCCGACTTGCACTGGAGGGAAGGAGGGAAGCAAGGAGGAAGCCAGGAGGGAGCCCCCGCCCTCAGCGGGCTGCCCGTCTCTGACTCAGAGCAAGGCGGCCGAGCTTTGGGAAGAGCACTGCTTTTGCACTACAACTCCCAAAACTGGCCCGGCCAGCCTTTCTGGGAGTTACAGTTCAAAAAAGGCAACCTTTCCAAGCAGGTAAAGCGAGTGAACAGAGACAGGCAAGATTTTGAAATGCAGGCTGGTCCAGAGGCCACCTGGCCTTGCACCTAGGCAGCCAGTCCTGTGCAGTCGGTCATTGGCCACGAGTGCTTTTCCTGCTTAATTTCTTTTGCCTGCCAACAGGCTCGTGGCCAGATGGGGCCGCGGAGCTTTTGAGCTGCAGCAGAGAGCCACGGTCTCTGCTCCGCTGGCCCTCTAAAGGCTGTGCCTGCCCACCCCCACCCCCTCCAAAGTTTGGGTCACAGCTTGCTCTAGAGAAAAGGGTCTCGAAAATGTACATGCATCCAAGCCCGGAGAGCCAGGGCTGGCCAAAGCGCCAGCCTCCAGATGCTGTGGCAGGACAGCTCTCGGGGAACTGGGGCCATGAGAGGCACTAGCCNGGGGGGGGGGGGGTAGAGGTTGCCGACGCCTGCCTGCGTAGGTGTCTCTCGATCAGGAGCTCAAGGATGAGACCCCAGAAGGCAAAAGGACAAGTGGGTGGGTGCAAGAAGAGGAAATCCCTACCTCGGCTGAGTAGCTCCACGGTATCATTGTAACTGGTGTTGGTGTGACTCGAATTGAGATGAATATACAATTTGTAAAACAGAGTCTCGGAATTAAAGGTGATGTTTAACCGACACCCCACTCGAATCCCATCTCTCTGGAAGTAGTCCTGGCATTCTTCAAGTTGCGTATGAGAAAACCTACGTCAAAAGGCAGCACAGGTGAGCCGTTTGAAAGCCTCCGGAAAAGTGCACTGCAGGGTCCAAGTTCAGCCAGACAGCCCTGCACGGGGCAGGTCCAACCCTCCCGGGAAAATAGCGCCAATCGCAAAGCAACGACCACACCTCTCTCCAGAGGAGAAGCAAGTCACTGGTCAGCAGAGGGTGTTTTGCTGCGACCGGAGGGGAGAAAGGGGTCGGACAGTTTCAGCTTCTCCCAGGCCAGCAGTGCTAAGAAGCAAGAAGCCCTGTCAGCCGTAGCCCTGGCATCGTTTCAAATGCATGGAAGGATCTGGTGGCATCTTAAAGACTTGTTGTTTACTCTGTTCTTTCTTAAATGTCTATCGCAGCCCACCTGCAATGAAATCAAGGTGGCATAGACAACTCCCTCCTCCTTCCCACATCATCCTAATAACAACTCCATGAATTGGCCCAGTCTAAGAGAGCGTGATGGCTTCAGGTCATCTGGCACATTTCATGGCTGAGTGGGGATTTGAACTCGGATCTGCTAGGACCTACTTAACTCCCTCCTCCTTCCCACATCATCCTAACAACAACTCCATGAATTGGTCCAGTCTAAGAGAGCGCGGTGGCTTCAGGTCATCGGGCATGTTTCATGGCTGAGTGGGGGATTTGAACTCGGATCTGCTGGGACCTGCGCAAGTCCAACCCTCTAGCCACTACATCACAGGGATGGGGGAACTCCCTAGGTCCCTGCGCCGACCTGTCCCAGAAGGAGGAGACCCTCCTGGCAAAATGGAGCAAGGCACAGAACCCCCCCACCCCTGTGTGTGTGTGTGTGTGTGTAAGGGTGGGTGGGGCGTTCCAGTGGATGGGAGCAGGCAAAGCACGTACCTGGAGTAAAATGAGTAGGAGACCATCGGTGTTTGCTGTCTTCCCCAATCGCAGGTCATGTAATCCTCATTGAAGACAATGCAGTCCACTGTAGGAAAGTGAAGAATGCTCACTGAATTCCTGATTCTTGTTGATAATTTTTAGGCCCTAGAAAACCTTTTGCCTCCCATACAAGAGCACGACAGGAAGGGCTCTCCCCCCCCCGACTCCCCACTAAAGTTTTTGCAATTTGTGCAAAATCTCTCTGCAGCAGGGAGTACCACCCCTGCCCTCTCCCTTTAAGGAGTAAACCCACAGAGAGAGAGAGAGAGACAGAGCAAGGGCGGAAGGACAAAAAGAAGATGGAAGCAACCCATCCAGTTCTTCTGATTTTTAAAAGTTCACAAAACAAGGCAGCAAAAAATGGTTGGGCCAAGAAAGATAGGAAGTCTTGTCCTTCTGGAGGGCTAAGGGAGAAAAAGAAACAGCAGTTCTCGGTCTTGGCCCGTGAGGGCCAGATGAGCAAAGATGCAGGTCTGTATTTCACGACAGCATCAGAGGAGAGAGGTCTGTGCCATCATGACTATCAGCCGGATGCGAAAGTGCACCCAAAGTCTCTTAAGTCCCCCTCCCGGGATGGGGGGGGGAGGCTGCTGCTTCCTCCTCTCGTCGCCCTTGAAACAAACTCGGAGCTCTGCAGGACTAAAACAGGATGACTGCTTGACCGAGAGAGCGTACTCAGGGCCACAGGGTAGGGATCCTGGACAACGTCTGCCATCCTCTTTTCACACGGCCTTTCTGGAAATCATCCTCTCTCACGGTTTCTAAAGCTCTGTGTCGCAGAGGGAAGGCAGAGGGTGCAGCATGATTTCCGGAGCCAGGGGACAGTTGTTTGTCCGGCACCCAAGGAGGGCTGGTGAGCGAGCTCAGCTGGCGGGTCCGGTGGGTCCTTCTAGTTCCCGTTGCTGTTCCCCTGCCCAGGCTGCTGGCCTTCGGTCGCTTGCCCTTCTGACCCCAAGCCGCCTGCCTGTCCCACTGACAGAGAGCTGGAACCAGTTCCTTTTCCAGACCACAGTTCCCAGAAAGCCCAGCCAGCAGGGCCCTGATTCATGCTGAGCGGTGGGTACCAGGAGCTGAGCATTGCCAAGCTTTGGCCATGCAGCTCAGGACCACCAATCTGGATCAGCCTTATTTGCACAGAAAAACAGTCAAGACAAGCAAGGAGAGCTGGTTGCAGGTTGTTTTAGCCCTCCGTCATCCCGAAGGGCCCCTGCCTCCAGCCTTCCCCCCCCCCCGGGTAAGAACGTCAAGAGCGGCCGACCCGCCTCTGCTGCTGCCCGATGCACAGGGCTGAGCGAATGGGAATGGGTACCCGCAGACGGTCAGGGGGCTTCCCTTGCCCACCTCTGCTCTGGGAAGGAGAGGAAGAAAAGGGAAACGGTTACCTTTTGGTGCTGAACTGTGGGCGCCGGGTCCCCCAGGGCTCAAGCACAGCAGGAGAAGGAGTGAGAGCCACCTCCGGGGCCTCTGAGCAGCACCCATGGCCTCCCTGCTTGCAGCACTGGGAGGGGGGGCAGGGGCCCAGGGAGGAAGGGCGTGCGCGCTGCTGTTGCTGTTCCTGCAGCTGGGTGCAAAGCGTTGTGGGAGCAATGTGGGTTTGAAGCGATGGGTCGCTCTGAAGCAGAGTTTCCGCCTGCTGGGGCTTCCTGTGGAAACTCCCCGCAAAAGGTGCCGAGTGGGCAGAGGGGACAGGAAGGACCTCGATACCCATCGCTCTCTCTCTCTCAGTGGCTTCCGGGGGAATTTCTAGAGCGTCCGGCCGTGGGCTAAGCAGGGCCACGGAGGCCAGGACAGGTCCAGCCGGGAAAGTCTGCTCCGGATGGTCTGCCTGGGGTGGATTTTTGGTTGGGTTGGGTTTTTCTTTTTTGCAAGGTTGGCAACCTGTTGACAGCCCTCACTTGCCCGCTTGCTCTAGGCGTGAGAAAGTCCCAGGATGTGCCCATCGCTTGCTTTGTGACAGATGATGATGAGGACCACAAGCGCAGGCCCCTCAGGCGCCCTGACGCAGAGGGTCTCAAACGGGCGGCGAGGAGGGTTGCTCTCTACGACCCAGAGAAGGTCAAGGACACAAGGGCAGTTTTGAGAGTGAATCGGGTCCAGCAGCGCTCTAGCCCATCATCCTTTCCCACCCTGTGCCAAGCCAGTAGCCCCCAGGGACGCCGACAAGCATGGCATGATGGCGTCAGCACCCTCTTGCCTCCCGTCTGGGAGGGGACACATAGCCACCGTTGACCATGAGTCCCTGGCAGGCTGGCAGCCGCATCCTCTGGGGATTTGCCCGGTTCTTCTTCAAAGGCAACCCGTTTGGCTCTTGGTATCCTCACCTCCTCAGGGGTCTGCCTCCCCCCCCCACGAAGGTGCCCCATTCGCCTCCACTGACAGATCCGGGGGTGCTCCTTTTAAAGCGGGCCGTCTACACTCTGTGCATGGCGAGGCCTCCCACTTATCTCTCCGGGCGATAACCACCCAGGAGTTGAGTGCTGGCTGGCATGCAGACGGGAGAGGCTGGGGTATGCGCCAGTGCTGGCTGGGGCAATGCCACACCGGCGGCTCCCAGAAGCTGTGGAGCCTGAAAGAGCAAAGAGCCCCCCCCCCGACAAGCTCAGACCTTGTACACGGGCATTCCCAAAGCCTGGCTCTAGGGCTGCGACGGCTCGCCCACAACTCCTGGAATTGCTGTGGCAAGACCAACTTGCCTGCTTCCGGGGTTCTCTTCAATCTCAGCTGCCCCCTTCCCCCCTCTTTGGGGCCTTCCATTCTCTTCCTCAGCGCTCAGTCTGTTTAACCCACTGCTTTTGGGGTGGGCCAAACACAGCCCTTCGGGGGGGGGCTGAGGGGGATTCTGGTCTTTGTAGTCTTAAGGCTGTGGGCTTAAACTGAGGACCAAACCTCACTCTAGTTGATGATGCCCATTTGAATGCCTTAAGAACCTCCATCCTCCATGATTCCTATCCTTGATAAGAAAACTTCATTCTCCCAAGCGCTTGGGGGCAGGCCTATGACAGACAGCTCCTCAATTTCAAGCAACTACTCACAAACAACACACAATGCACAACACAGACCAGAGATGGTGATTAAAGCCTGCTACAAACCCAGATGCCAGCTCTGACCCCTACATTTATTCTGGCAACACAGTTATAGGACCTAACAATGTTACACACGAGAGCAAAGGTATTTTTTATCTGCTCCTCTGCCAATGTTATCTATGCCTTCTTTTGCCAGCAGTGTCTTTCTGCACTCCATATGAGACAATCTCTGCACAAAAGAATTAATGGACACAAGTCGGTCATCAAGAATGGCAGTGCAAAGAAACCCACTTCAAATCATTTTAATTTGTCTGGACATTCTGCACATGTTCTGAAAGTTGCCATTCTTGAAAAGAGAAATTACAGGACAAGAATCCAGAGAGAGACAGCTGAGACAAAATATATATCGTATTTTTCCATGTATAAGATGCCCCTATGTATAAGACCCTTCCCCCCTTTTTCTAACCCCAAATTTCTTTCTTTGCAAGAAAGCGGAGCAGAAGGCAGAGATCAAAGTGTTTTTATTCCTGCTTTCTCCCTCCATTTTCTTGCAAAGACAATCTTTCCTCCCTCCGCTTTCTTCGCAAAAAGTAGAGGGGGAAAGCAGGAATCAAAGCTCTTTGATGATTCCTGCTTCTCCTCTCCACTTTCTTATTTATTTATTTATTTTATTTATTCTATTTATATCCCGCCTATCTGGTAACATGACCACTCTTCCGATCCCCCCCCACTTCCATGTAAAAGACAACCCTCAATTTTTAATCTAAATATTTTAGACAAAAGTACTGTATCAGAGTGGTCCTATGTGATTCAGATAGGCGGGATATAAATTAAATAAATAAATAATTAAAAAATAAATATACACTGAAAAATATGGTACATATATGCTAGACACCCATCCGAACGGATTCCATATTAGCCAGAGTTTCTTAGGGCCCTACAAAACACAAAACACTACAATAATTGGGCTGTACCTGCTGTATGTTCTAGCTATATTTCCTTCCCAGTAAAGCAGATCCTACCTTACAAGCTTCAAAGGTCATCAGAGATCCTCAACTCATTACCATGTTTTTCTTGCCCTTCTCTACAACCTGCCTGGGGTAATTTAACCACCTACCATTGTTATTGTTTACAGAAAGAGCAAAGCCTCCTAGAAAGGATGTAAATCCTAAACAGGGGTGTTAAAAGTCATTAAGAGGTGTGAAATGCCAGTTTCTTTATTTTTGACCATGTATGTAATTAACAATCACGTTATTTCTGCTGCAGGTCTTCGGCAGGCACTAACCACCGCTGCTCCTTCAAGTGCAAAGCTTCAGTGGAAAATATCTGAATATTAAAAGGAAGTCAACACCACGTTCACTCATACAATTTGCAGCGATGTAATCTCATCTTTATTTATGTCTGAGGAAGTGGCTTTACTCCACAAAAGCTCATATTAACATGCAGCAGTTGTTGGTCTTTAAGGTGCATTTATTTTTATTTTTCTGGCTTTTGTTTTCGCCCGATCTTCACACTCCTGCTTTTTTTCAGTTCCTTTCTCACTATTTCAGGCGCGGGATGGCTTTTAAAAAATAAAAAAAAATTAGGACAGCACGTTTAAACCGCATTCATATGTATTGAATTCGAAGTCACAATCCGGGATGCAGAGGCTGGACAGAGGCATGGAGGTTGCTTTTAAAAACTAATCCTCGTGATGCAAAACTTAACCACTTCCCACGCCCAGCTCGACCTGTTGAACTAACTCCGCTCTTCGCGCGTTCGCTGCTCTTCGTGGCTCCTATTCTGCTGCAGAGACCAGTTCCGACGGCAGGGGGCGGTGTTTCCCCATAGGCGCACTCCTTGTCGGCCATTTCCGTACCTCTCTCGGCCGGAGGGAGGCGGGCGAGGAAAGGAGGCCGACCAATGGGAGAAAGGGACGCCACGCCTTCGTTCCCTCTCGGCCTTTTCCGGCCGCTATTGACGTCACGGGCCCACCGTTATCCCTCCCCCCTCCTCTCCCTCTTCCCCCTCCCGCTGCGGTGTTCCCATTTTCTCCCTCCGCCCCTCCCTCCGCCCCGAGCCTTTGATTCCGGGCGCGCCTCGTTCCTACGACGCCGGGGCCTCTCTCGCTTCGGGAGGCTTCGGCT